TTTTTGTTTGAAAGAGCATATCAAGCTGCAGTGCACTACAAAGTCCTATTTTTTAATTAAGCTTTGTTTTTATTATATAATTAGACACTTATATAACTGAACACACGGCTTTTGAGCTATTATGAGACCTTCATCTTTTAATCTCTTTTTTTTTTCACTTAAAAAGTAAGAATTAAAAGAAAAGGGCTCTTTGCTGCACTGCATCTTGGCATGCTCTTTCTAACAAAAAAATTTAATATATAGAATGAGTCTGGACTGAGAAGTTAGGGTTGCTAAATGGCCTATTTTTGACTCTTGTTTGGTGAATATCTCTCTCAAATATGAGGATATAGGGCTGAAAATTCTACCATAAGACTCTCCACTACAGCTCCAACCTATTCTGAAAGTTTCATGCGATTTCAAACATATCTGGAATGAAATCGGTTTTTGAGGGAATGTCAGAAGATGTGATTCTTGTTGCTCTCATCAAACTACGATGCTATTAGATTTTTCAACACTTTTTTTATGAATAATATTGTCTACCTAAAAACTACAAATTCTTAAAGTTTTTAGATTAATCGACTCATTTTTTGTATATAATATTAGGTATTCAATGGAATATCCTGCAGTGTCCCTGAACTTTTGGCCAAGGGGCTAATATTGAAACTTATATAACTTGCTATAGAAACATTCAATTCTAATGCTATAACAGTATATGAAAGATCGCTATTAGATCTATCAAAGCATATCGTCATTTGCTCATAATAGCTTCTTAACATAATATTATAAAAGCGAAAAGTTTGTCCCAGAACTTTTGACGTGCACTGTAGAAGCACAACTTAAAACAAATTTTTGATTAGTTTTCTTTCAAAGAATAGATTTTTATAAAAAATTACTTTTTGAATTCGAATAAGTAAGACAATAGATTCTGTTTTAGTATTTAAAACTTATCGCCTTCAACAACTAAACTTTTTTCTTGCTGATAACCTGCAGATCTAACTTCTTTATGATGCTTACGTGTTTTTGAACATTCAAACATAGTATGAATTTGATATCTTCTATCAATTTGATTTGCTGATTTTATATTAAATCTTTGTTGTGATGCTTGATCCAACATATAGTCGTTAACAATATTTAAATCTATTGTTCGATAACAATCAAATTCAACATCAACTAAAGTACGTTGTTTCCACTTGGCCCAACCAAAAATGTTATTTGCATCAGCAAAAGATTTCAATTGACCACGAATATTATAAGTTTTAATATTCTCTAAAGTATACGATAATGTTGTTCCCCAACAATCGTCTTCAGGTAAATCAATGCCATAGAATAATGATGCATTGTACAAATCTCGAACACTGCATGGCAAAATATCTGGTACATGATTTTCTACTAAATAGTTCATTAAACATTCAAATTTTTTTGGATCACGATCAATATGATAAAGTCCATCTTCTGAATTTGGTTTACCATTGAGTAATCGCCATAAAAATTTTGAACGCATTAATGTTGTTTTCGCTATTTCAAATAATTGACCTTCCCAAGGCAAAGCCGCTCGGTCGGATTCTGTCGGATGGATTTCAAATCCGTTTGAATCCGACGTTTCAGACGTAATCCGATCTGGATTCCTTTGCACAGGATTCCGACGCAAACTGGAGCGGATCCGATCGGTTTTTAACGGAAGACGTCGGATTCCGATGCAATCCGTTTCGGATCCGATGGTTGCCAGTAAGATCCACAGGTCGGATTCAATCTCTTGGGTATCTCGATTTCTCCAAAAGGCACCCAAGAGATTCAAACCAAGGAAAGTCGCTCGATCGGATTCTGTCGGATGGATTTGAAATTCGTTTGAACCCGTCGAACGGATATTTTCCGACGTAATCCGGTCCGGAATCCTGTGCAAGGAATCCGACGCAAACTGGTTCGGATCCGATCGGTTTTAACGGAAGGCGTCGGATTCCGGTGCAATCCGTTTCGGATCCAATCGGTTTCCGGTAGGATCCACAGGTCGGATTGAATCTCTTGGGTTGTACAACAATTTTAACAAAACCTCGAATTTGATTTACATTTATTTGTTCATCATCAAATGCTTCAATATCAGCAGTACCACCAGCTGTTGTATCGTTTTCTTCACCTTGAACTGTTGATGATTTTGTATCACTAGACATATCAAATAAGTATTGCAATTGTTTTTAAAAATCTAAAAACAGAGACTTATATGGTTTAAAAGAATCAACATAATACTATGATTTAAAAGTCATAAATCTAAGAAGTGAACTTGAATGAACAATCAATTAAATATCAACTTATCGACGTTTTTCTAAGTTTTTAATTGCTGATCTAGTACAAGCAAAATAATCTTGTGAATTCTTTCATTTTGTGACTAACAAAGATATGTGCCTAGCGTCTTTTGTTTTCGTACTAGTACGTTGTCTGACGAAAAAAATGTAACTAGAATCACCAATTGACTACATGATGCAGTACCAGTGACAACATCTAGTTTACATATTCACATCAGAAAAAAAGAAATTATTATAGAAATACTCTATATTAAGTTCTCTTTTAATCTGTATATTTTATTTTCGCCAAAAGTAAGTTTCATGCGGAAGATGTCCCTGCACTACGCCTTTTTAAGTAGTTTCATACTAATAAAGAGAAGGCTTTTCATATAACCTATTGCCACCACATATATATGAATCATCGATGTGAGTACAGATTTGACACCCAATTAAAAATCTCTCCTTTAATGTGTATATAAGTGATTTATTTGCTATTAGAAATACTACTTGCGATGTATACATTCCGTTGTAAAACAGTAACATCTATATACAAGAGTCTTCATTGAATTTTTTTTATAATTTAATGATTTTTTCATTTGGTCATAAAAAAATTAAATAAAAAATTAATATATGTCTTGTTTAGTTAGTCAAACAAAATGAACGAATGAGTAAACTGCCAAATACTATTTTTCTTTAAAATTTCGTCTCTTTTTTATCATTCATTTAATTGAAATTTTTGTTTATTTTATTCAAATTATTTATAATATTCATTATATTGAACTAATTTCTCTATGTTTGAAATAAACAGAACAACAAATAAAAGATATGATAATGACAATGAAAATGAATTATATACGTGTATATGCCATGTTTGTAAATAACCTTCTTAACTCACGATTAAAAAACAATCGTAGAATAATTGTTCAGTCAAATAGATATATTACTTTTGCGTGCTACTATTAAATTGTCTGTTATCGTCAAAGCAACCAAGACACATGAGAATAGTAAAACGGAAACTACACTGATGAATTCAATCAATTGATTTTTATTAATCAGCCTCTTGTTTTTCTTCGGTATTTTATAGATAGAAACTTTCAAATATGAATACAAATGAATGATTCAACTAGTTTAAGTAGTTTAAATTCAGCTGATTTTATTCTGGTTAATAAAGAACAACCTCAACTGAAAATTGCTGCTGGTATGTGCAAAATTCTTTTTTCTTTTTCTTTTCTTTTCCTTATAACTTTTATTCCAGCTTAAATACAGAAAACTTCTTTTTTTTCTAGTAAGTAAATGTGCTCTCTTTCTTCCCTCTGTTTTACTTAACATGATTCTAACATATGTAAGAATCCGTGTTTTTCTCGTCGATTTTTGCTTCATATTTATTTTTGTCTTTTCGGTGCATATACTAAAATTATTTCTATTCGAATTTAGGTAGTGAAATTGGTGATTTAGAGCCGAATATGGCAGAAATATTAAATGAAGTAGAAGTGTTTTCATTATGTTAATTAATATATATTATGAATATTCATGTATTTTTAGACTTCTGATAATAATGTCCCAATATCTGAATCAAATCCCGATGATAATTTGTCTCAAACATCAATTGAACAAAGTAAAAACTTTGAATTTATTTTTTTGTTACTCTTTAATTTTTTATATTTAATAGAAGAATCTCGACCTGATCTGACCAGTAGTGTACTATTTCATGGTGTAACTTATTTAGGATCTGCCACTGTCAATGCACCTCGATCTAAAGAAGAACTTCATAGATAAAATATATTATTATAAATAACTTTATAATACTTTTTTTGTTTTTCTTTCTAAGAAATATGGCTATTTTAAATGAACAAAGTAAAGTTGCTCCTGAAGTTACTCTATGTGTCCCGGACAATGCCAGTGGTGTAGTTCGGTAAGTTTAATTGTTTAAACAATAGCAGAGAAAGTTCAATACATAATTTTCATTGAATTCGAAATCGAAAATAAAAAAAAATAAAGCAGACTAAATATGGTAAACAAACAATGAAGAGACAGTCAATTTGAATATAATCTAACTAAACATTTGCATGACGAGTGTTTTTATGGAAATGATGTTTTAGTTATGATTAAATATGTGACAGTTCTTGAGCTCGATGATTGGTGCTGTTTTTTTTTTGAATGAGCAGTATCTTAACGTAAATCTATATGAATAGATTCTCTTGTGTCTGAGCAAAAACGTTAATTATGTTATGAATAGGTTTTTTTTTCTGTAGAGCTCGATCGTTTCTGATGTATATCGTTCGAAATAAAATAATGATTCATTTCAATAGAAGCATAAACTGAGGTTTCCAGAAAGAGCTGAATGACTGATAATACTTACTGTTAGCTTATATCTATACGTTTTTTGATAAAGTAATTACTTTATCAAATGTATCCATGACGTAGATGAGATAAGAGTTTTCATCTAGAATGGAACTCCTGCAACTAGGTCGGTAAATTTAACATTTAAACCAACAATTTATGATATGTCAACGTTGGAAAATATTTGAACTTTTCCTAACTATCATATGTAAACGTATAGGAATGAAAAACTCATTTGATTATGATGAAAACAATTCACTATACTTTAGAATAAAGATAACAAAAGAGGACTTACCGCCTCGTACTCTTCTATTGCACATATTTTCATAGTTAATGTAGCCGTATGTCCTTATAGCCTGATACCCTTATTGACTGTCATTCTTCAGAGCATATGAATATCCTATAGGACGGCCGTTGAGGATTCATGGTTGCCCTCATATAATAGCCCTTGGAGACTTCCTCTTATAACCTTATTTGACCATTAACCTTTGACTCGGCACAGAGAAACACACAGACACACACACTGAACATTATATATATATATATAGGTGATTACCTACGAATGACCCTGTTCTACAGTGCATGAAGATGTATGGATGCTTTCATAAATGTTGATTCATTTTTTATGAATTTTTAAGAAAATTTTTGTTTTATAGGAAAACGTTTACTGTAACTTTGAATTTTTTAAAGTTAAACTTTAAAGTATGATCACTTTAACTTTAAACTTAGCATTAAAATAAATTTAAAGTGCCACCCCTAACCAAGCATCATTGAACAGTGATGATTTAACTTCTCGTCGTCCTCCTTCCCTTCATTCATCTACTATCAATAATCATCAACGTCATTTGACAACTGCACAAACAAATGAACCATTAGAAGAGATTGGTGAAACAGGAGGTGGTCTTCTTCTTCATCTTCAATGACGTTTTAGACAATTTGAACAAGGAAAGAAAATAATGAATGAAGAACTTGATAACAGAATAACAAATTCATTAAAATTAGAAACAATTAAAAAAGACTTCTTCCTGACATTCAGATGAATCGAAAATAGATAAAGAAATTAAAAGTTTCGATTGTTTATTGTTTGCATTGATAGCTCTTGAAGCTACATCTATTAAATAAATAATAAGAAAAATAATGATCTTTTCTTTTATTTTATGTGCTACATTTTAATCTTATTCCAGCAAAGTTGGAAGGGTGTGAGTGTTGCTGAGTCCAGCCAACCATTACGAGTTTCGAGAACTCATGAGAAGTTTGATTTTGTGACAAATTTGAAATAAAAGAAGTGTCTGTAAAAAATATATTGAAGACAAAAGAGACAGAAACGGTATAGCGATGAGCGGCATGGAAGTCTTGTGCACAATGAACAGGAAAAGGGGGCTAGAAGCAATTTCTTCAATTACTGTAGCTAAAAATTTGGTATTTTGTGTAGTTATGCTTCATACTTGGTGCTGATTATCTGTGCTTATCTAGCTTTGTTTACTCGTAAGATTTCTGAAAAATAGATTGTTTTATCGAGTTTTTGCAACAAAATCCCCTAGTCCTTCTCTGAAGACGTCCAAAGTTGACTTTTGAATTTTGACTTGAAACTTTGCACAAATAAGGTTCTCAGTGGAACTAGCTCATTCTAAAAGTTTCAGCTTTTCCGTGATTTCTGTCGTGAGATACGAATCTAAGCATAAATGACACCGCTGGTTTTGAAAAAGTTGTCTAAATACAATGAAATTTAAACCGATAGTTGAAGTAAGTGAGATACATTCACAATAAAATTTTCAGACTTTTTATACATCTTATTGAAGAGAAGCTATAGTGAAAATACGTCTTTATAAGACTGATGCAAAAATAGGAAAAACTTTGTTTAGTATGATTTTCAAATGGGTCATCGATTTTTTTTTAGATTTCATACTATGAAAAAAATGACATCATAAGCAGTTAGAGAGAATCTAGAGCGCTCTACATTTTTATTGTGATTTTAATATTTTCTGACGTTCATTGAAGTATTTCTAAATACGAGCAAAATGAAGATCTATATCTTTTTTACGAAAATTTTGACTTTTTCATAAAGAGTAAATTTCAGTGCTACAACCATATCTCCACAATGAAACGTTGCCGCATGATTAAACTCTTACAAAAAAAACTATGCCTTAATTCGGGTTACTATTACTACAACTTTGAAGAGAAACGGTTTTATCCAAAGGAAAATATGGTCATATCAAGATCAAAAGGGTACAGATAATTATTCATTTATTGTTTGAAAAAAGAAAAAAATTCTCTCAAACTACTCTAACCCAGTTATAGAGGAACTATTCGAAAGACCTAATATCTTTGGAATTTTTATGAGTAAAGATTTCTTTTCTTTTTGTGTATTCTATCAAGTTGTTGAAGTACAACACGAATCATATCGTTACAGACGGTGGTGGGGAAAAGGTGCTATAAGAAAAATTCGAATTTTGATCGTTGTGATATATTACTATTTTTCGTACTCTATGTACAATACAGTTGCAGACAAGACAGAAAGAATAAAAGTGGTGTGTGATAAAATAAGAACAGTGTCAACGATTTCTAATAGTTCTATTATCATTATGATGAAATGATGATGACAATCTAAGAAACTGTATACATTTGCTAGCTCAATACCAGAGTTGATCTCACTGATAACTAGGTTATAATGAACAAGTGCTTTCTTCCACTATATCCTTTTTTTTTTAGAGAAAATGGCGTTTTAATATTGACGTTCACTCTTCATACTGAGGATGACCAAGTACATTTTCGATATTTTTGTACAATAAGTAAGGATATTGCTGATCTTGTTCGACTTTGTTGAAGTCCTTGTTCACAATCCTCCTAGCATTACAATTCGTCCATCTCTCTTTTTAAGTGAATAATAAATTCAACTAATATGGATTTTCATGCATTTACAATCTAATTAAAATAGAAAAAACTAATAATATTCAATAATGAATGGAAAAAAAGCCTTTTTTTTCTTGGCCATAGTTTTTCAACTAGTGATAACAGAGTAGTTGTAATTACTTCATGTTTTGTTTTCTTATTTTCGTACTATCATATAAACGTAGATAATAACAAGATATGACACGATTAAGTATCTTTTACTTTCTCTCTCTCTCTCCGTTGTTTTGATTCTTTCATTTGATGATGGATCTTTCCCTGATGAGTCATTATAAAAAATATGATTGTAATCAAACAGAAAAGAAAGAACAAGTATTGATTGAATCACTCTCTGAAGACAACGTTTGAACAATAGATCATTATCATCCTTAGGCACTATATATAAGCACAACAATCGACATCGATGAAGTACAAAATCAATGCCAAATATGAATATCATAATACATGAGATACTTGTTCTGACTAATGTTATAGTTATTATGATGTGTTTTGATCATATGAATGGTAAGTATTTGTTGAGTAATCTCTTCTTTTCTTATAAATAATTAAATAAAAACAAAATCAAACTTCAATATAATTTCTCTAGTTAAAGGTAAATTGAATGTATCCTCCAATCAAGAATATTCACCATTATGTTTTTGTCATTCATCATATCAACGTTCTATATTTCTTGCTAAAATATCTCTTTCTCAATGTGATAATTCTCTTACTATTCGTCAATGTCATGAAAGTAAATTTTATCCACCTTCATTTGATCTTACTCAACTTATACCATCACTCATCAATTTTTCACATTGTCTTAATCATATACATTGTCTTCATAAACTACATTCAATACAACATTGTCAACATTGTCAACTAGAAACATTATTATTTACGCATAATAATTTCTATCCTATTGATAAAACAATAAATAATCTTTCAACTAATAGATGTTTCTATCTATGTCAACATGATACATCATGTGGTTTTCTTTGTCTTCATCAAAATGTAATAATATCAATTAATTGTCATATATGTCAAGGACGAAGACAAAATGTCACTTGTCGGTAAGTTAAATTCTTCATCGTTTAAGAATAAATTATCTAGATTTATCAATAATTAATATGAGTATTCTTTCTTTCTTTCTTTCTTTTTTTTTTTGTTTTGATTTTTATAGTTGTATTAAAATAAAATCATCACATTCATGTCTTGAATCATCCTACGAAAGTACAACATCTCGTTGGATGCAAAAACGTGGCTTTCCAGCTGCTGGTATTCTTGCTACACTTGTCTTAGCTGCTATATTATTAGTTATTGCAATCAAACTAATCTATCATCGATTGGATATAGTAGAAAGACATTAAAATCGACAAGTTTCATATTATTATACTAATACATAATAAATTCTTTCTAGAATAATAATAATAATAAAAATAAATCGAATATTTTATTATTATTAGAAAAAAAAGAAAAGAAATAAATATCGAAAAATTATATTTCGTTTGTATTTAAATTATTTTTTTCTGTTTGATAAGCAATAATATTTGTTTGAGCTTGAGATAAATTTTCTGAACGATAAACTTTTTCATTAATCCATGGTTGAGAAAAAGCTTGATAAATTGTGAGACGATTACGAGAATTTACTTTAAGAAGATTAGTCACAAAATTCTATAAAAAATGAAAATTAATTCTTTAAAAAAAAGAAAAGAAATCAATTAATACATACTCTTCCATTTATTGATACATGATCCCATTCTAATGAACTATATTCAATTTTACCATTAAGAATTTTTTGAAAAATTTCTTTTTGTGTACCATGAAATGGATATTTACCCGAAAGACTAAATCAGATATAATTAAAAATGTCGTTCTTTTTTTAAAAAAATCCTTACCAAAAGAAAATCAATATACCCAATTGCCACATATCTGTTGATGCAGAAATGGATTCACCACGTAATATTTCAGGTGCTAAAATTAAATAACAAAGAAAATGATTATTAATTAATTAATTAATTATTTTTTCTATTTACCACAAAAACTTGGTGAATAATTAACAAGAAGACTAATTGCATCATGTGTACATAAATTTGCATAAGCATAATCAACAAGACATATTTTTTGTTCATTATTAATATCACGAATTAATATATTTTCACCATGAAGTTTTCCATGATAAATTTTACGTTCATGCATATACTAAAAATATAAATAGTCAAACAAATAAATAACAGTTTTGTTTTTTTCTTTTTTTTGAATACCTGAAGTCCTTTTAATATTTGAAAACAATATTTTGATAAATCATATTCTTGATAGACTTCTATTTGAGTAATTCTTTAAAAAAAAAAAATAATAATCAATTATTTTAATTTTGAAAATAATTCATTACTTTTGAAAAAGATTCGGTCCATTAACATAATCTTGAACAATATAAATATGTGATGGTGATTCCACAATTTCACGAACGACAACCTTTTGAACAATAAATAGATATTTAGAATAATTGCTTATTACCATAATAATTAGGACTTACAAAGGGAAGGACTAAAATTAATTCATAATTTTTGAATTTCGTATAGAGAAGTCTTTTAGATTAGAAGATTTCTTAAAACAATTCAAATACATAGGTCATATCTACAGAATTATGCTGGTTTTACTACATTTTTACAACGGTAAATTTAATGAACTGACATCTTCCCTACAATTATGACAAGCTATAGCCTTCAACAGAAGACCAGCCTGATCAGTGTGTTATTCAGGTTTTTTTCTACTGGGACGACCAACCCGATCTTTGGAAAGCGCTTCCTTCATGTTGGATGAAACACTGAGTCTGATAGAGAGTCCTTACACTCAATTGCTTGAACTTCTCCCAAACACACTGACTAATCACAAGAGTAAGTATGCAATGCTGGCGGCTCTAATTAATAAGATACTTATGAACATTCTTGAAAACTTCATAGATCTATATAGAAGTAATTTTGAATTTTAAATATTAAATACCAAATTTGGATGATCAAGTTGTAGAACATGTGAAGCATTTTTAATTGGTGTTTTTCGATTACCCTAGAGAAATAAATTATAAATTTCATTATTCTATATTTTATAACTTACGCGTTTTGAAATACATTTAACTGCTCGTATTGTTTGACGATTTTTTAATCGACATTTGTATACATCAGCAAATTGTCCACTATAAAAAGAACAAAACAAAATTATTTCTTTTTGTTTTTACAAATAATTTTTGATTCAACGAATTACCGATTAATTAATTCATCAAGATCATAAATATCTTCGAATTGATGTACGATCGTACTATCACCAATCCAACGTGGTTGTTCTATTGATAAATTTTGATTTTGTTGATGTTCTTCTACCATTATGAAAATGTAGAGAATAAACCTTGACAATAACAAACGTAAAAAGTGTAGTGACAACAAGAAAATGCCATTCTATAGATTTATAGGCAAGAAGAAAAAAAAATGCAGAAAACATTCAACGTCAATAGAAATAAAAAAATAAAGTTCTTTAGTTACGACGATAGAAGAGAAGAACAAGAAGTGTTGTTTTTCTGTTTTTTGTTTATTACATTTGTAAGTGTCGTACAACCACATTAGAAGTTCTTCGGTTTTGTTTTTATATCAAAGGAAAATGTAATTTGTAATATTATTTTTAGATATAGTAATTCGAAACTTCTCAGATTGTTTTACAATTTATTTCAGATAGCATAGTTTTTTTTTTATAATTACTAACATAGATTTATTATATAAGGAATAAAAAAGAAAAACATCTTTTCATTATTTAATGATTACCAATAGTTTTGAAATTGAGAAATAAAGAAACAATATATGCTTTTTTATTTAAATAAATTTCAAGATTTTATTGATATTCTTCATAATAATTCTAATATAACATAGAAATTGAAATGACAACACTCATATGAAGATTGGATTTATTGTTTATAGAACTATATGATTACCTTTTCGAAAGTATGTATCTACCTCTCATAATTCTAAATTATTACTTTGAAAATGAAAACGTTGGATACTACCTTTCAACAATCAAATGTATTTTTCCTCATTAATCCTAACACGATCAAATATACGACTACTATTTGTTGTCCATCTGGAGTTTATGCAAACTCCAATTGATAAAATAAAGATAGTATACGAAGTTGTTACTAGTTTATCATGGACATGTGAAGATTCTAGATAAGACTTGATTTCAAAAAAAGAACAAATAGAAAAGTAGTTATATTTATCTAGTCCTTTTTTTTTCATAGTCTTACCATTCTCTATTTTCGAAGCATTTCAAATCATACATCACTATTTAATATTCACATATGCTTTGAACTGCTCTACGTAAAAAAAAAATAATTGCGTATGATTGATTGATATTATTAATGTATTGTAATAATCAGAGAAAGTTTCCAAATGATAAAATGCTTTTAAACGAGAATTATATTCAATCGATAGAATCTGGTGAGTAAGTAAATACCCTAGAAGTGATATAATACTTTTAAATTTTAAACAGAAATTTTGTTCACATAAAAACATCAATTAGACTAGCTTGTAGAAAAAATTTCAGAATTTTTTAACATACAAAACACTTTCACATGATTATTGTCAAATAGATGGATATTTTGAAAAATTCATATCTTGGAGAGATTTGATCAAAAAATTCTGAAATTTATTCTACAACCTAGTCTAATAGGTGCCTTTAGATTGACAAAGTTTCAGCTCAAAACTCAAAAGTATTATCTTACAGGGAAAATCCACTAAACATTTGAAATCTCAGCAACAAAGATCCAGCAGCTCGAACCACGTCGGTGGTATTTACCTACTTACTAGACCTTATCGATTGAATATAGGTCCAGGTTAAGTGCAGTTTATCATTCAGGACTCTTTCCTCGGATGTGTCTCCAACACATACTTAAAAGAGCATGATTCGATTAAATGTTATGAATGCATCATATAACAATGGATCTCACTGGAGTCCGGACGAATCCCACGTAGTCAACAGGTGCTCATGTGTACTGCAGGATGGTCTACTCACATAAAAAATCGTTGGACGTGACTAGTAGATATTATAAGCACATTCTACTAGTCTTCACTAGAGCATATCTAGGAGATGAGCAGTTTCATTTAATATTGTGCACTCATAATAGTGTGAACACACTAACTCGGATCTGCGCTACAGATGTGCAAGACTGAATATGGTAGAGGCTAGAAAATTTTTGTCAGTTAGGGGTATGAAAAAAGTTTATCTTGGATATCTCTTGTTCGCACAGACACCAGGCATTCATGTCAGAGTTAATATCATCTCAGTCTACATCAGAAGTCGAATCGAACCGAGTTTTTCTAGATCGAGTTCGGTTCGGTTCGGCTAGTCTTTAAAAAAACAGTTCGGCTGCGATTCGACTAGAATAGTATTACTGCCATTTAATCAAGACTAGACCAAAAATCAAAACTTAGTTTTCAGACGATCAAAATTATCACACAGAAGTTCATATTCGTGTCATTTAACACTACTAAATACATTTGTAGATTAAATTATATGTTAACATTAATACATGAGAATTAGAAATATTCTATTGCTGATACTAATCTCATATCATTACGGACGATTATTCATCGCACTTTAGAAAAATGGAGAAATTTATAAAAGAAAAATCAAAGAATTATGTCACTTACAAGTAACCTGTTATCATAAACACAATTTGTGTAACGAAAACTAAGAGAAAAAATAGACAGCAATACACAGAGATTAAATTAAGCATGTGAAACAATCAATAAGTGTTCGTTTTTATCCTTCTTGACGTCATTATACTTCTCTATATCAATAATAGTTTAGTTACTTTTTTGTCATTGGACATTAAACCGTGTTCAACCTTTTTTTGCTTCTTAATTAACTTTTTTTTTTCGAAAGGTATTCGTCCTTCAAAATAAATATTATAAATTTTGTATCAATAAAAAATTTAAATAGTTGATCAATTAATCTATCTAATATTTGATTCAGATCTTATAAACAAGAAATGATCATCACATTTTACAATGTTCATTCTTTGTTTTTTTTTTTTATTATATTAACGGTGTGTCAAACAAAGTATACAAATAACTACAAGAAAGTAACAAGAAAAAAAAAATATTTAATTTACCCAAAAGAAAGAAAAATACAATGAACTAAATCATTATCAAAACACTAATAGAAAATCATATTAATCATAAAATTCTTTTTTTTTTTTTTGCTTTCTACCATCTTACATGTCCTTGATATTCTTGTTTTAATGAAACTCGTTTAACAGTTTCATATGCAAATATAATCAATAATGAATAAATACAGGAATGTGATAAACGAGCTGTTAAACCTTTTGTAAATATATGAAAACGTTCTTCTTGCCATAATTCACACATAATTTGTGTTATTCGTCTTCGTTGTTGTTCAACTTGTATACGAGTACGACATACATCAAGTGGATTTGTAAGCATAGTGGATGTAAGCGATGATAAAGGACCAGCAATACATTGAATAACAATTAATGGTAATGAAATATGATTTGCTGAAAAACAAAAAACAAAAAAAAAGAGTTTTTTGTTTTCTTCTCTTAGCAAAAAGTCAAGAACAATTCATCTTACAAAATATTTCTTCAATTCTAAACATTTGTCTTTGATAATAATAATATGATGGCCACCAAATCGCACTTGTTAAACTAAATAGAAATGTTGATATTAAATAACCACGATAAAAACCTTTTAAAGTAATTCCTGATTGCATATTTTTATCTGTATGTTTTTCATATAATAATGCTGTACATATATGTTTAAATATTAAATAATTATTAGTACGCATTTCTGTAGGTACATGTATACGAGGAATGTGTCGATGATGAAGAGAATTTGATGATGATTTATTTGAAAATTTTGAATCCGATTTTGATGATATACTATCTGTAAGATGAGTTTTTTTTTTCAGATGATGTTAATCCAACTAATTGCATATGTTGAGATACAATATCAATAGGACATGCAAGTATTTGTGAACATAATGAACCTATAGTACCACCGACACCAGCACGTAAATATTCATTTTTAGTTAAAATATTAGCACGAGCACGTGTTGCTTCAAATGTTGTTATATAAATTAAACCAGGTACTAATTGACAATTATAAACAAGAAAACCCTTATATAATGCACGATAGCCTTCATAGCGAACTGTTGTGCGTAATGCGTGCCATGTACCTCTATATATAGATGATTTTACTTGAACTTGTAGACGAGTGCGAACAAGTGTAACTGGATATAAAAATGAACGAACAATAAATGTTGATAGAAGATTTAATGGAATAAATCGAGCTTTATCGAGCATAGGCCAATCGATGTCATGTGTTAGATTTGGTTCATCACTTTCAGACATTGAATACTTAAAAAAGAAAACAATTTATCAGAATTTATGTATCCGATGAAAATCTATTTTTAGTTTTATATAAACAAACAGAAACAAAACTTTCGAACAGTTAATACAATAGTCTTTTTCTTTAATAAAAGACAAAAAAAAAAATCAAAAAGTCTTGCGTTTCATACACGGCAAACTAACAAACAAACAACAACAGCAGCAGCAGCAGCAGCAAAAAAAAATATTGTTTCCTATTTAAGAATCACATAGACACAAAAAAAAGCTATTTTGATTATGTTGTTTGTATTATTGGTGTTGCTCGTTGTTGAACAATTTTTTGTACTAAACCTTGACTTGCCATAAGTAATAATTGAAAACGTTTAGCCATCGTTGTTGATGGATTTGCTTGAATATATGTATTTAATTTTTTACAAAGATCAATTAAAACAGTTTGTAAATAATCACGTACACTTGGATGTGATAAATCAAGACAAATTAATGCTTCATGTAAATATCTATAAAAAAAAAAAAACAGGAAATTAAGGAAATAAAAAAAAGAAACAAATTTTACCTATATTTTAATTCTTGATATGTATTTAAATCAGCTGAAAGTTGTTGAATTAAAGAAAGAAGAACAGGAGTTTGTAATGGACATGGTTGAATTGAAAAAAGTTCTGTTGGACGAACATTTTCACATAAATATAAAACAAGATTTAAATCTGATGCTGATAATGCATATTCAAATGCTTGATTTAATTGACCAAAACGAGCAAGTTTTAATATATGTTGTTGTTTAGTATCTAATGTTGAATTTGTACTTGTTATAGTTGGTGATGATGCAATAACAGAAGCTGTAGGTATTGGAGTTGTTGTTCGACTAATTGTTGATTTCGAAGTAAGAGATTGTCGAAGTAAATTATTTATATCAGTTTTTTGCGTAGTTAATAATTCACGAAAGACTACAGTTATTTCATCATGTAATACAGATCGTGTTGTATCTCGAATTCTATTTAAATAAAAGAGAAAAGAGTAGAAAATTTTGTTTTTATTTTATTAAATAGAGATAGAAAAAATATGAAGTTATTTGTTCTTATGGTTGTAGGATGTTCAGAAAAGTGAAACGACTTAAGGGGACCCTCTCCCCCTCGCTCTTTTCGGAGTTTCTCGAGAGCGGCTTATCAGAAAAATTTGAAACTTTCACAGCTGATAGATCTCGATGTGTAGAGTAAAAGTTGTCACACACTCAAAATTCTCAAATGCTGCTTTATAGGAGATATTGGAGTCGCAATGGCTAAAAATCGCTCCCCTTTCTCAGGTACAGTAAATCCGATTGGGCTGAAGTTTTTTCTACAAACAGTTTATGGAAACTACTATTTTTGGTTTCTTTCTATCTCGTACCGTTCGAATAAAAAAGCCAAAATACGAAGAGCACTCTACAAAATGCATGTTTTCTTTTTGAATAGTGCTTGTCTTATAAGACCTGCCAAAACTCAGCGGTACGATATTTCTCAAAACAAAAAAAAACTAGTCCTCCTAAAGTGTTTCGACTATCTGTAGAAAAAATTTCAGCCTGATCGAATTTACTGTGTCTAAGAAACGGAGGTGATTCTGTAGATTTTCGATTTTATTTTTGCTTTAGAGTTATATTTTAGTTCTCAAAACGTCACCAGTAGATAGAGGGCACTTGAAAGCATATGTAGAGCAGAAAAAACAAAAAATTTTAAAATTTTGGATCCGGAAAGGAGAGGGGGGGTCTCCTTAAGGGTGTACCTGCCTCTTTTTTGATCATTTCTAATTTTCGAAGGAGATACAACCGATCTACCGCAAAATTTTTACTATAGATAAAGCATTTTAAATAATAAAAAATTCTGAAACAAAGTTTTCGCGATCATTTTAGAAGAAAATCCTGGTTTTCCGTAAGACCGTACCTAGTCTTATTACAACCTTCGACGAGGTTGAGAATAGGGTGTAGGTGTGTGTGTGTTTTGAGCTCTCTCTTAATTCACATCCTCCGAAAATTTTCCGTTACCCGGACCCGACGGACTGTAGTCAATCGTCTGAGTAATGTGTAGGATGTGCTAGTCACCAAATACAAAAAAAAAATGGTAAAAATATCTCGTATCTTCGGGACGGCTATTTAATTCCGATTAGAAAATTTCATTGAGAACATCAGAGAACGATTCGACGGGCTCTAACAATAATAACTCTGTTAATCAATTGAACAAAGAAGAAATATTTTGTCTAAAAAACTTCTTTATTCTTACATAGATGTTAAATTAGATGTCATATAATGATTAATATCATTTTTAAGTGTATTTACTAAATCTTGATTTTTCTTTTCAAATTCTTTATTTAATTGTATTGATTCTTTACGAATTTCATTCATCATTTGTTCACGTTGTTGAATTAATGAACGTTGTTGTTGTCGACCATATTCAATCATTTCTTGTAAATCTATATTTTAATTTAAACAAAAAAGATAAAAAAAAAAAAAACAAAACAAAAAATCTACATACATTCTTTTGTACCACGTTTAAATACATCATTTGTTTGTTGAAACATATTTGTTGCAGCTTTTTCAAATGATGGTATTACTATTTGATTAAATGTATCACGATAAGATGTTATCATTATTGATTGTATTGAATTAGATATTGTATGACTTAATGAATCGATCATTGTCTAAGAAGAAAATAATAAATAATTAAAAAATAAAAATTATCAATCAAACTTTTGAACGAAATATTTGTGTAATTGTTTGTTTAATAACTGTATCAGTTGCTAATAATTTAGCTGCAAGATCTTTATGTAAATTATCTTTCATATCTCGATATGGTTCGAGTACAGATTTCATTGCTACAATGAAGAAAAAAACAAAAGTTGAGTATTGTAATTCTGATCGGATTAAAAATTTAAAACAGAATGAAATTTCTTACATTGTAAATAAGAGAATTCATAAACAAATATTATTCGCTATGAAAATCTCTTATTGGATGATTTTCAACTTCAATTGCTTAGATCTATAATAGGAAGGCGAAGAGGAAGGCCGCAAAAATTTCGACTGAACATAGAGTCTCAAAGAGACTTGGATAATCGAAATTCGAACTGAAATTTTATTCATAGGTGAAATCTTATAGTCATTAGACATACTCTGAAGTTTGAAGTCTTTCGTTTGAAGTATAGCATAAAATAGGTATTTGTTTTTTTTAAATATAAATATCTTAGTAAGATTATGTTCGTTCTGGCTCAAACTTTGGAATATTTCTACTAGTTACAAAGCCTATCTGTAAACGAAAAATTTCATTATCAGAATTCGATTATCTACATTCTCATCGATTCATATCTTGACAAGCGAAGATTGCAGAACCAAACAAAAACAAGTTGTTTTTTTTGTTTTTACTACTCATCATGATCAATGGTGTCGCAATACGCTCAAACGAGAAGCAATCGAACGAAATTGAAAATGCCTCCTCGTTAGATTTCTATCACATTTGTGGAGGAAGCGACGGTAGTCCGAAAATCTTGCTCTAATAGTTTAACATTCTTTTCAGATCGTGTTTCACACAATCAAAGTTTATCATACCGCCTTGTACATATGTTTGAATTTTTTCAATAAGCATAGCTTCTAAACGATCATAATGTGTATCAGATAATATTGCTGGTGATTCGTCAGTTGTTAGAACTTGTACAGGTGCTGCATTTGGACTTGGTCGACTTGGTCGAGAAACAATGCCTATAAAATAAATTCATATTTAAAAGTTAATATAAATACGAACTTTTTATTTGTATATTTAAAAGTGAAATGTTTATAATTTATTTAGATTTTACATTGAAATGATTTTATTAATTATGAAGAATATTTGATTCAAATATATATTGTTATTCAATTAAAATGTCTGTATTTATCGAAGTTAAAATTAAAATAGTTTTATTCATAACTAAAGTCGACCTATTATTAAAGCTATACACAAGGTACAATTTGTTCAACAGCTCTACAAAAAAGCATTTACATAGATTGAACACATTTGATTCTAGATCATTTTCACACATATCATTGACCTTTTTTTCAGTAGTAATTATTCTACGCCTTATTGAACATGATCGATTTTCGCCAGATTTGGTTTTACAAAACTACTGCAATGTTCAAATGAATGTGTTTCTTTTTTCAAATTCGACTTCTAGTTTTCGTTTTATATTGATGACTGATTGAGTTATGCATACGTACGACTTATCCGAAATCTGTGGGATAAAAATTAAGCACCCGATAATATCATTCTATTAGGTTTCTTATTAATATTATAAGATGTAAAATATTCGAAACTTTTCTTTCGAGTATGTAATATGTAATATTAATACTTCATCGCATATGATTCAAACCAGGCAAAAACTGCCGATATACCGATAATCTACTGTCGGTATATCAGCGGTAGTATGAAAAAGTATGCAACATGGGATAATGAAGTGTTACTATTCCTTATGATATTGAGCTCATATTTCGGATACATGCATTCGATCATAAATCCTAATCACAATCATCAATTCATCTTCTATCGAGTCACATATGCTGAAGGTTATGGTTCAGACATAATCTTTCTCTTGTAATCACTTTGTCTCAACCATATTGCCATAAATATTGTCACTCAATCCTTCATTAGAAAGGTCGCTGTCGTAGCTATCAGGCATCGAAATCGGACCACTTTTTTATGGTCCGGGTCCGAAAGAAACTTCGTTTCCAAAATTTTTGTTCTCAACAGACAGCTATCCCTCTCAGGGTGAACCAAATTTCAGAAAAAGGATAAAATCGTCGAGCCGGACCAGGGTCTGGTAGCTATCTCTAGTCCGAATTTTGTTAAAAATCACTTTGAAATAATTAAGATATTGTCTTCTCATTAAGAACGTCTACTTTAGTGATAATAAAATAGACAGACGGGACTATCTGGAAAGAAGATGTGTGAATCATAACTCCGGTTTATGTGAATCCATGGAGGACAGATTAGTGTTTATGATGGCACGTATGCATTCAAAATATCAATCTTAATAGCACTTCAGGGGAAGAAGGCTATGATTGTCTACGATTGTATATATAGGTATATTTACCAGCTGGTTCGAGACTAATTATTCTATCAACTTTGTTTGCTAATTGTTCAAGACGTTGACAGCATTGTTCAAGTTTTTTTTCATAATCTAAATGTGATGTCATAAGTGAAAGAGATTCCGTGGAAATATTTGTTTTATGTGAACGAAATTCACTTAACAAACGAGTTAATTGACGAATTTCATGTAATGACTAAAATTAAAAGTAAAAAACAAAAATTAATTATAGAAAAAAAATCATATATATATATGTATATATTATTTTCACATCGGTATTTAATACTATTTGTGAACTATTTGGTGAACGTCCACCACGTCGTTTTATACGTGTATGTGGAAGAGCTTCTTCATCAGCTGTTGAATCATCGTCTTTATCACTTTAAATAGATAAATATTGAATATTTCTGATATTTATATAAAATTTACCTTGTTTCAGTTGGATCACTAAAATCATTGATATCCTGACGACCAGATGTATTTAATCCTCTTGAAAAAAGAAAAATAAAGAAAGATTAATAATAAAAAAGAAAATATTTTATTATCTTACTTCATTGGACTTTTTTTAGACCAACGTGAATTATCACTAAATTTCGGTGGTGATAAAAGTGGATCTTGATTGCCAATAATCTAATAAAAAAAGCTCGATCATATATAAATGCATTTTTTTTGTTGTTGTTAAAATTCATACCTGTTCATCATCATCATTTGTTTTTATTGGTATAAATACTGCATCACCATCATCATTATCATCATTTGGTACTACGGTAATAATTTAATAAATTATAGTAACAAAAAAAAAAAACAAAAGAATAACATACAGGTTTCATATGGAAGAGGATAATTTGTTGCACATGACATACTTTCAGCAACTTCTTTATCATCTAGATCGTATGGTGATTGTGATATACCTAAATATATTATTATTTATTTATATTTAACATTTTGAAAATCTTCCAATTAAATAAAATACAATCGGTCAAATTGATTTTAACATTTGTTTTTATTTTATTACGACACGAGTTTTTAATCTAATTGGTGGTGCAAAAGTTTTGCATTAATTTTGTTATTGATATAACTCTCCGATGCATTGCCATAGAGACTTGATGTTTTTTTTGTTAGAAAGAGCAAAGTGTCTAGTGCAAAAATACATAAAAGAATTTGATTGGAAATGTTTTTCGAAGATCAAAAAAATCTAAGAACAAAGGACGCCGAAAAACGCTTTTGCAACTTTTTTGAACTTTGAAAAAATTTCATATAATTTAGACAAGTTATCTTTTTATTCGTCTAATCCAAATTTTTGTTATTTAAGGATAGAGTACTATTGCTGTACAAAAAAGAGAAATTCTCTACATGTTGTATAACGAGTGAAATGAACGCTTTTATGAGACCGTCTGAGTCACCGATTTTTCATCATTGTTGATAGTCGTCGAAAAAATAAACTCTATTCCGAGAGTGAGGTTGCCAGAATCTATATATTTTATAGAAACAAGGTAGCTTATTGAGTTCTCTACCAAACCATATTATTTTCAATAGAACGCAGCTTCTCTGTGATATATTCAAACAAAAATTTGTGTTCACATTGAAAAGCCAAATTTGTACAATGAACTTTTTTTAACCAAACTGTCTTCTGTTCATCCTCTTGTATGCTATATTAATTATTTTAATACTAAAAGAAAGGCTTCATTGTAATCAACAACTGTATATATATATACGGTGTTTGAAAGCGTCGAAATTTGGTAATGAAAAAGGTTAAACAAATATTTTTGGATAAACAAAATGTGACCAAAGTTGCAAAAGAGTTTTCCGGCGTCCTTTGTTCTTAGATTTTTTTTGATCTTCGAAAAACATTTCCAATCAAATTCTTTTATGTATTTTTGCACTAGACACTTTGCTCTTTCTAACAAAAAAAAACATCAAGTCTCTATGACAATGTATCGCAGAGTTATATCAAAAATAAAATTAATGCAAAACTTTTGCACCACCCGTTATTTTACTGAAAAATAGAATAATAGTGAAGCAACAGTGTTCACACAAAAAAGACATTTTTTTTTTGGGCATTTGTATACGAGTTTCAATGCAAATTTGTCCAAAGTATTAATTTGCACCAATAGTTTTAGCCGTCTGTTTGAGACAGAGATAGTATCGATATTAATACAGATTTTTTTTCGATTGATCGACATGACAAACTCAGTGTAAGATTGATTTCACTAGTTTTGAACTTAATCAGATCATTTGCAATTATAATAAAAATAGAATTGTTTATTTAATACTTTCCTACTCTTATTTAGTAGAACAATTGCAGAAAATAAAGAATTTACAAAATTTTGGAAAAATTTATTTTCAAGTGAAATTCACAAATAATCAATTAATAAGAAAATTTTTTTTTTTTTTTATTGATATATGATGGGAATGGATCGTGTGATATATAGAACGATGGCAATGTCTACTACTGGTATCAATACCATTTGAATGCTTCACGAAAGCTAAGTAGAAAAGAGATATTAAATCACTGGAGAGTTTTCCACAAAACCAAATCTTTTGTTTTTCAACATCTACAATTCGAACGAAAAATTTATTCACATGGCAGAGGAAATTCTTTTTCTACAAAATGAGACGTTCCCAAACTCTCTATGACATTTTTTCATCGAACTACGTCAGATTTACGAGAGATCTCAGATAGAATTTTTGTCAACTCGTTCTCTTTCGAATGGTTACTAGAGCGTATTTGATCAATAGATCGCAAATAATAATATTCTATTCCAATGATTGTTTTGGAATTCCTATGAAAATAGTAAAATATTAAGAAATAAAATCTTACCATTTCTAATTAATGATGATGAATCTTTATCCGTAGTTACTTTTGATTTAAATCGATTATTAGGACTTGTAGATACAGTTGAAACAACTTGTTGTTGTGATGGTGAAATATGTGTATGATGTTCTTGTTGTTGTCGAATAGTTATAGCATCAAATGCTGTTGTATTACCAAGTAAAAGACCATGAAGAGGATCATTTGTTGATATTTTATTATTGACTGTTGGTGGTGATGAAAGTATATTTGTTGTATTATTTACATTTGTTGTTAATCCATCATGACTTGCAAGTAATGAACGTGTTGTATCAACATTTGGTAAATCAGTTACATTTGTTAAAGAACTATTTGGTGTAAGTAAATCATCAATACTATATCTAAATGTATAAATAATTGAATATAAAAATTTTTTTCAAATAGAATTATCATACGGTGGAAGACCAATAAGATCATTGACAGCAGGTTCTATACGATTTATAGTTGTTGAAGGTACTGATAAATCTCCATTACGTAAATATGACATATATGGTTCAAAATGAAAATCTAATAAAATAATTTGAAATTTTAAGACTAAAAAAAAAAGCAAAAGAATTTTTTGATTTTACCTTCAATAATATTATCTTCTAATGAATGATTTTGTTGTTCAAAATATACAGGATTTATTGTCATAAAACGATTCGTTTTAAAAACGAGTAAAATTTCTTGAAAAAATCTAATAGAAAAAAAAAAAAATTTTTATATTAAAGAAAAAACAAAGATTTGTTTTGTTGCTCATACTTTGTATGAATACTGTACATTTTAACACCATAAGAAACAAAATCAGAATGTTCACCTAAATATAATGAAAAATTTAATTATTGAATTTACAAAACAAAACTTTTACGATTAATTTGATCAGCAGCTGTTATAGCAAAACTTAATGATGGACAAGTAATTGAATTGAAAGCATTTATTGATGAAAAATGTGCTCGATTATTTTCAGCATCTTGATATATAGTTAATACATACATAAACTAAATAAATAAAATTTTTTTTTATTTAAAAAAATCTTTTATGTTTTTTTTTTATACATTTCGATTTATATCAGAAAGAACAAGAAAACGTGATGTTAAATCAATTGAAGCTTTAAATATAGGTATTTGTGATGATGGATGAAATACAGAATCAATAAATGAATATTGAAAACTTCAAAAAATAAAATAATATTAATAAAATAATAAAAAAAAACAAAGCTGTCGCAGCATTCTTTTACTTAATTCTTTAGAAATGCAATAAGAAAGTAAGATTGTACATTATAACCAGATGTTATTGATATACAGTCTTTGATGGTATATCAACAACGTCTATTATAGTCTGTAATGCAGAAGAACGTTTCCAAAGTATATCGGTACTACCTATCATGAAATGACTGTTTGTCTCATATTACCCCACCCGATAGAGCATGCTGGCGACGTTATGACATACATCTATTCTCGTGGTTAGTTAGCGTATAAGAAGAGATCAAGCAATTGAATGGCAAGAACTATGTGTCAGGTTGACCTTCTATCCAGAGCTACAATTAATATTAGCTATAGGAAAGATATCAGACTATCGAACCTACCACAAGGCAGCACCTCATACTGCAAGAGTATCGTTCTTCAAGGGTGATCGTGTATCAATAACGTCTGTCACGATCTGTGACGCAGGAGATGGGAGTGTTGCTAAGGTGTCTATGATGTGTAAATGTCTACCTTATATACAGTAGTAGATAAAAATCTTCGGATATCTCGACTACTACATATTGCTGGAGGTCTGAAAATTTGCGTGCACCTATTGCAGATAGTTCAAAAGCATGAGATCGCTGCGATTGCTGAAATATAGCGAAAATTATGGTTAAAAGCGCCTATCTTTGCTGCAAGACTTTAGTTTGGGCAGCATTGGCTACTAAAATTTTTGTTACTTATTATCAAGTACATGACTAATTCTTGATATTTTAACATGCAAGGAGAGCCTAGTCTGTGCTCTTCATCTTAGTCAAATGATCAGATAAAGAGATTCTTTCATAAAGCTTTAACTACAGACAAAGTTTATGTACAAGTTTCAGTTCAACTCACTGAACTATTATTGAGTTATAGTCTCCAAAGACTAATAGATCACTTTTTCTGATCTGAATGGTCATAGAAAATAATGAAGGATGAGTCAACCCACAAAGTTCTTCTTTTTCAGAGTTATGAAATTGAAATGATAAATAACTCCAATTCACTACCATCCATCATAATTCTCATTACATTAAGCTAGTGAAGTATGTGCACAGAAATTTTCAGATCTTCAGCATGTAGAATAGTCGAGACACAAGGAATGAAAAACTTTTATCCACTATTGTACTTCAACATTCGATTTAGATCATGTTTCATAAAACAAAAATTTTTGAATACCAAATAATTTGTAAACAACTCCAATTCGTACAACTCCACACTTTAAGTTCACGATTTTGATCACAGCCTGATATTGCATAACGCCATAATTGAGTACTAAAGCCAAAAAAAAACAACAAAACAAAATTAAATATAAAATAATTAAAATTTTGATTTCAATTAACTCTTGTGTTAAATTTTTATGATCATCAAGAAAAAATAATGATGAAATTGATCGACCTTCATGTGGTATCCAAAGATGTAAACATCTAAAATAAATTCTTAAATAATATTTTATTCTATAAATAATTTCTACCTGCATGTTTGTGGTTGTTCAAAATTAATTGAAAAAAATTTTATTTCACCTTTATCTGTACCAGTTCCTAATGCTGTACCATCCGGTGAAAAACAAACACATGTTACATTCTAAAATTTTAATAAAAATCAATTTTTTGTTTAATAGAAATATTTTAATAAATAGATTATTTATTTCTCATTGTATTAAACATTTCATATTGTTCGATATGAATGATATGAAATTTCAAAATTCAAGAAATATCAACATAGTATTAGTAAAATTTATGCAACTTACAGTTCAGGATGGATTGTAGTGCTACGTAGAATCTCAATCTAGCATTCCTAATTGAAGTTGTACGTAAAACTACAATGAGAATGGACTTTATGATCTTAAATATTTGTCATTCGTGCTTACAAGAGAACCAATCGAACTGTCATTCGCCATTTAAGTTTATATTGGGTCTACAAGGATGGCTTGGTGAAAGTCGGAAAGGACGGCTCGTCCTCATGAGTCTTTAAAGCTGAGTTAAGATCGTTTTACTAAATTTTCAATACAGCTGAAGGATCCTGAAAATTTCAGACGAAAAGAATATTCAAATAAACTCAATTGTTGTATTCTGCCTGTGATAAAAGATTATTTTTTTCGGAAAATTCGATATCTAGACAAAAGAACATTCTTTTTCTCTGAAACTTTTAGGATATATACACTGTCGAATATTCAATAAAACAATCCTAATTTGACTTCAAAGGCTTATGAGGACGAGTCATTGTAGGTTCAATATCAGTTCAAACGGTAGATATAAGTCCGGATGTTACTCGCATTAGCCTAGAACTAAAATAAATTCTTCTTATGTGTTTAGTCTTATTGTTGAAGAAGATATAACATCTTCAAAGGCATCCGTGTAAAAATTCTTACGAAGAAAATAAAGTATTACTATATGTTCTGCTTGAAGTAAAATAAGATCGTGTATTTTCTCTATCTTTTAAGCCTTTTCTTCCACTGGAAAAAAACGAATTAATCAAAATAATTTGTTAGTTGGCATCTTGTTTTTTTTTGTGATATAATTTTGGAAAATCTCTATCGCTTACGGGATTTTCAATTAGTCGATAAGTAGTGAGAAGCATTAGGACTACAAAGTAGTAAAATTTCTATAAAAGAAATCTTCTTCGCCTTTTCTAATAATATATCTCAAAATAACTTCATTGCAGTCAATTAATTTTTCTTGTCTAGTTTGAAAGAGCTCATTTTTAGAATGATGGTATTGAACTTCTCTTTCTTTTTTCCCACATAAAAATTAAGAATGTAAAAAAAAACACACTTAGCATGAAATCGATTTTTAATAGTAACAAAGAATAAATCTCATCTAGTTTTTGAAGAAAAGAATTATTAAAATATATTTTGTTTTTTGATTTAGAATATTGTTCTAATAAACAAAAACAACTTACACCATTATTATCTCCATATGTTAAACGACCATTTTCAATTTGATTTAAATTTAACATATTTTCCGAGATACATGATTGTGATACAATATCAACATTAAGTACTTCGACCTAATGAAAAATAGTTTATTATTATTATATTCAAAATAAACAGTAAAAAAAATAAAACAAAGACACAAACATTTGAACCACGAGTAACACTTAACATAGTATATGCATCATTATCTTCACTATCATTACTATCAGGTATAAAATAACACCATGATAATGTTGGAGGACATTGATTATTTGAATATTGTAAATCAACAAATAAGATTAGTGTATGTCTATGATAAGAGAAAAGATTTTTTTTTTCTTTTTCGTTTATTATTTGTCATCAAAATCCTACTGTAATTCATTTGGTTCATCAATTTTTTCTATTCGATAAATACGTAAATGAGATGCTTGATCAACACATGCCAAAAGGACATCATCAGAAAATGAGAATACTAAATCATGAATATCACCCGAAAATGGAGGATTTATTACAGATCGAAAATCCACTTGTTTATAAAAAACACAAATAATATCATCACCATTTTGTCCTTAATAATTAATGAATTATATAAATAAAAGAAACAAAAAGATAAACTTACGTTTAAGAGAATAAGCAACAAAATTTCCACATGTAGCTACCAAATGACCCGAATAATATCGTGATTCCCAATTATGATCAATAATTGGTTGAGAAAAAACCTTTAAAAGAAAAAAACGTTTGTTGATACTTGTCAACTAATTCCAGGAATGTACAGCAATTTCAATAAAAATACTGATAATGATTTACCGACAGTGAGTCTTCTACTAACTACACTGGACCAGTGTTCACTAAAGCATCGACATACCCATACAGTATGAATATAGCAGTTTAGATTAGTGAACATCAATCCAGTGTAGTTAGTGAAGAATTTACTGGAACTGTACATTCCTAATTGATTCATATGGAGAGATGGAATCGACCAATCTGAAAGCCGTACCATTTCCATCTCTAGATAATCTCAAGGCAACCGACCGATCTCTAGATTAATATTCTATTAAATATGCACTAAAACCACATTCATGCGTAGGAAATAAATCAGGCGAGAACTTAGATTAGATTCAAAATATGAAATACAAAAATAGTTTGTTTTTTTGTTACAAACTAATGATCATATACATGTTTTTATTGATTCAGCCTGATATTAAAAAAAATGAAAATTGAGATAAATGCATGCGAAAGTAATCCGAGGTTTAATTTTTCATAACATGATTTCCATCATTTTCTGCTTGAAAAATATGTTTTGCTGCCCGTTTATGCTTTTATTGATCACGCAACCCAGAATTCTCTGTGAGCCTTCACACACGCTCTCTCTCTCTCTATATATATATGAAGAGTTTCTTTTTTGAATTAAGAATAATTTTTATAATCGGAGTGCCATTATTTGAAAGTTTTCCGAGATATTGAACTTTCCTACTCTTAAAAAGTAATAATTTAGAAAACAAATTCCTGCCATATCCTTTCAAACAAAAGAACCTTAAATATATAGAATGAAGACCCACAGAGAATTTTGGGTTGTCAAACAAGTTATAATTAATCCCTGTTTATTATAAATTTCATGCAATTTGAATATACCTGATCCAAAATCAATTTTTAATGAAGGCACTTAATGTCTTATATAAAGATAGGTGAAACTCATTTTAAGCTTTAGTTTCTAATGTTCACAAGTATTTTTACTACTAGTTGAATTGAATATTTGAAAATTCTCCATACATTCAATTCTATTACATTATCATCTGTAATTTCCGTATGATTACCCTGTGAAATAATTATATTCTTTTTCTTTGAATTAATTTTTATAAAATGAAATAATTATATGCTTCAATGACAGAAAATAATAATGATAATAAGAAATTTTCAATATAGAAAGAAACATTCATAAAATTGTTTATATGGTTTTTTTTTCGATAAAAAGTTTTCTTCTAGAAGAAATATTATTCTATTCCAGTAAAATAAAGAAAAAAATTTTTCCTTTCTGAAGTATTCATTCAATGTAAACAAGTACGATAAAAAAAAAAGAAAAGTAAACCATTAAAAAAAACTATTCTATTATACTTGATTATTATCATTAGTTGGTGTTGTTTCCGTAAGTATAGTTTTTCGATTTGTTAATTGTATGTCAACTTCACGAAGTGTTATTAAATGTGTACGTTGTACGGGATCATTACTATTTAATTCACTAAATATGATATAAACATAATTTAAAAAAAAAAATAAACGACCTATCTAAATATTATTTTCTCACATTTGTTGATGATGTTGATCATCTAAATCGAATGTACTATAAATAAAATTATGAAAAAATAAATCATACGAAAAGAATCAAAGAACTTACACATTCATATTTTTGATAATAATATAAAGTTTAAAAGAAAAAACACCAGATAGTTGATTTTTTAATAGATATGATCTAAAATAATTTTGACATATGTCAAATTAATTTTTAATCATTAACTTTTTCCTCTCGATCTTCTATATAGTTAATGTATTCCAATATGTATCAAATCATAAGACCAATCAGTTACAAGTAAAATTTTACTGAACACAAAAATAGAGAAAAGAAAAGTAAAGTATTTACATTCTCGTCCAATCAACTAACACGTCCATACGAACAGATGCATGCAAGCATCACTCAAACTATTTCATCTATTCCTCTTCACTCCTACGCAATACATACACACACATACACACATATATATATATATACAAGTATACGAAAGGAATGAAACTATATTTATAACCGTGAAATATGGATACAACTATAACAAATAATGATGAACAACAATTTATTCAAATGTCTGCATTATCATCTGAAAAATATTCAAAAAAAAATCATAATGTTAATATATGTGAAATAACAAATTTAAATAATAATGAAGTTCAAATAACAACTATATCTAAAATAAAACAACGAAATTTTTTTTTACATTTAATTTCATGGCCTATTCGATTTTTTACATCATTACATATACCACATTTTTCTGATCGTAGTCTACGTATAATATTTCTCTTATTTATTACATTAATTGGTATAACTAGTTTTACAACCTCACTTATTGTAGGTTCAAGTACAGTACAATTTCATCAACAATGTCCATTATATGCTTCATTTAAATTTAAAAGATTAAGTACAACTACAAGTAATTGGACAATTCGAATTATACCGTCATCTGAAAGATTTAGTTCGCAATCAACATGTGATTTTTGTACATTTTATAATGTTTTTACATTCATTTATTGTATTATGACGGGATTTTTTTTCGTATTATTTAATAGTGATAAGAGAATTGTTACAACAAATGATCGATATTTAATCATTCCATGGTAGGAAAATTAAAAATTTTTCTCGATCTATTATTTGTTTTTTTTTTTCGTAATTTAATCTCTTTAGGATTCTAATATCAGTTATACTCGGTTTTTTGGCTCTAATTAATGCATCTATATTAACAAATGGTTTTTTAAAATTTTGTTCAACTATTATATCAAATGATAATCAAATAACATCATGTACTCAATTAAATCAATTATTTTTCGAACAATATCCAAATGTTTCATTATTCTTTATCTATATGCTTATAGCTATAATTCAATCATGGTTTCAACTAGCATTTTTTATTGGTATTATTACTATTCTTATTATTCGTCTTAGTTCATTATTCGACTTCAGTAGTAGTAGTAGTAGTAGAATAAAAAAAATCAATGAAAACTCAATTGGAACAATAATATAATCTGTCAAAACAAAACAAAAAATGTAGAAAAACAAAAGACCTATTGTTTAGATGCAAAAAAAACATATTTATTTCATCTGTTTGTTATACATACATATATATATATATATAAAAAAAAAGAAAACGTAAAATATGCAAAACGAGAAAAAAAAAATAATAATACTGGTTTATAAATCTGATAAATCAATATAGCTAGATAAAGAATTTCACCCGGATAATTTAAAATAGGAAAAATCACAATACATACATATATATATAAATACCCAATTTTCTGTCGAATTTAAGCTTATATGATAAGAAAATGGTTTATAAAGTCCTGTTTTTAATTTATCATTAATCACCGATATGTAACCAATCAAATTTAACTTCGAGCACCTTCTCGTTCAAGTTTTTCAAATACTTTTCGAGCATTGCGAATATTCATTAAAGTTACTTCCGAAGCTAAACAAAAAATAAATATAAATGTGAAAAAAAAACTGATAGAATTTTTTTGTTTTTTTCATTATCAAACATTCCTTTATACTATGATTACATTGCAAATAGAAAAAAAGAGACCTGAAATTTTCACAATAAACTACCTTGCATCAAGGTCTATCCCTATGCAAGGTTTTAAGTCAAAATTCGAATATTAGTTTTTCTGATGTTTCTAAATGCATTTACAAAATATCGTTGTAGTATCTCCATAGCAATAAGCTAAGGGTATGAATCGTTTTTATAGTTCATTGGGATCTAGTCTCGATTAATAAATTGAAGAACTTCCCTCAAAGAATCCAATCAGAAAACTTAAGTTTATTTTATATTCATTTAGGATCTGAATCGGAAATGCTTTTTTTTTTTTGCAAATGCAAGTATAGGTCCGAAATTAATGGGCTCTGGTAACATGCTATATGGTGTCTGCTTCATTGCAAATGAATACATTTTCTCTAGTATGCGAAATCAATTTTTTCGTTTTTATCTTGAATGAAAAATATTTATATACTTTTATCGTGAAGATACTTAAAAAAATACCAATAGAATCTTCCGAAATTAAATAAGTACGATTGTAAATGATGACCGTTTGAGATGCTTTTTTGTGATTTGATAGATGAAATATTACGAGCGTATTTCATTATCAACTGTGTAGGTAACGATAAGAATAGGATCGTAAGACTGCACTCACCAATGCAACTATTTACAATCGCAAACTATTATATAGAACTTTTTTTTTGTCGACTGTAATCATTGTTCTGAGTGTCCAACACATGTACAGGAACTATTTTTAGTTCCACTTGCGGGGGACTAGGGAGAAAAAGTTGTTCGAGTCGAAACTAAAATTGGAGTTAAATTTTTAGCGATGTATGTTTATAAATCACATTATTCAGAAGTTTTGCACCTTAATGAGAAATTTGATTTGCTCATTTTCTTAAATAAGAATATCAAATCTATTGATGTAATAGAGAAGTATAAAGGATAAGCTTTTATCATAGTAACAACGAAAATATCTGAAACTTTCAAGTCGAAACTCGAAAATGAGGAGACTCAATGAAAAAACAAAAATATCGTAAAAATGTATTTTCCATTTCAAAACATAATGTACTTCATTGATTTTTAAATAACTTTTGATAGAAACATCATAGAGATCTACGGTTTTCATCATACAGGAAACCATCGAAGTATATCAAAATTTGATAGGTCAGCAATAGTCGACATTCGTAGATTATTCCTTTCGAAAGTTATAAGACTTTTCTTAAGCCCCCCCCCCCCCCCTCAAAAAAGTTAGTTTTCGTCAGAATGGTCAAGATTGAGATAAATACATGGGGAGATAGCCTGTCATTTGCTCTTTCATAAACGATAAAAACTTTTCTTCGATACCTCCTTTTTTCCGGAAAATTTTCAATATTTTTGACAACCCCTATTCGAAAAACCGCTGGTTTTTCGAAAAGTCCAAAAATCTTTTTCGTTTTTTCTCAAAATGGTGGTCGAATTACGTAGCCCCACCAAAAGTTAATTATAATCCGATATAAAGTCAAATATTTTTTTTTGTTTGAAAGAGCATCAAAAACTGCAGTGCCTATGAGGGCCCTTTTTTTGATAAAGCTTTCCTATTATTATATTGAAAACCGATTTTATAATATAAGCATGATTTTTTTGAGGAATTTTTGAGTGATTGAATTTGTGAAGCCTTTTTTTCTTATTAAAGATAAGAATAAAAAAAAAGGGCCCTCATAGGCACTGCATCCTGACATGCTCTTTCAAATGAAAAAACAATGAACCATATTGAATGAATACCCATCGAGATTTTGTGCGTATGCGATAAGCTATTTTTCGACCCTTGTTTGGTTCGTAGGTACCTTATACATCAGGATAAGAGGCTGAAAATTTTATCATAGACGTACTTTTATACCCCCAACATATCCTCAAAGTTTCATGGCATCTCGATGTTCCTAAGCTGAGATCGAATTTTGAAGGGGGGGGGGGGGGGGGCTTAAGAACTTCGATTTCAACTAATTGACTTGTGATCACTCAGAAAAGCAGTTTGACAGGATGATGAGTCCAATGGTGATATTTATAGTAGTATATCAACAGTAATAAGTTAGCGACAACAACTCATTAGAATTCACATAGTCTCAACTTAAAAAGTAATTAAGATTTTCTCTTATAAGTCAGAATTGAGACTAAGAAAAACTCTTAATTTCACATATATTTAATTTTGTTCGAATATTTTCTGTAATTAATTTAAAGAATAATCATTTATCTATATCAAAACTCACAAATAGTTGGATCACTGATCACAACCATAACATATGTATTTGGTGTACATAATTCAATAAAACAAGCAAATGTTGAATTTCGTACTTCCATTGATTGAAATGCTGCAGCTAATTTACTATATAAAACAATAAAAAAATAATCATAGTTAACAAAAATACTTTTTCTTTTCAACCTGCAAGATAATTTAAATTGTTTAATTATATCACTAATCTTTTCAAATCGACGTGTATCATGATGCTCTTTACGTGTACAATGTGAAATAACCTATATTAATAAAAAAATTTACTTTGTTTTTTCTTCAATCAAAAACAAATCTTTTTTTTTTTTTACCAAAAAAGTAGCTTTTTCAAAGAGAAGAATTTCATCAGCATCAATAATTCCAGCAAAATTCTCTAATGTTTTTTCTAAACCTTTAACATTTGGTACTAATTGATAAACAATTTGTGACCAAGCCTAGAAAATATTATTTTCAATAAATATTCTTATCTAATCTTTTCATTATTTATTTTTATTTCTTACCTTATAAAGTGTTTCATCCCAAATAGATGTACGAAAACAAGAACATTGCAATGGTTTAGATATATCATTTAAAATTTTTTCTCGTTGAGTAAATACCTATGATATAAAATATTATTTTTTTAAAACAAAAAAAGATTTTGTTATACTGTTGAACGCATTTCATCAGGTATTAAATCCATTTTATGTATAAGACAAAAAATTTTAGCATTACATGAATGTTGTAAAATAGATTCAAGACATGATTGATAATAATGTAAATCCTAGAATAATTAAAAAAATAAATATATGTATATTATTTTTATACAAACTTTATCTAATTCTGAACTTTGTACATCAAATACATAAATAAGAACTTCAACATTTTTAAATATATTATCTTTTTGTGTTGCAAAATAACATTCCATAAATGCTTCTTGACCACCACAATCCCATAAATTTAATATTAAATTACCAAGAAAACGAACATAAGATTGTTCGACATCCACTAAAAGTCACAAAAAAAAATAATAAAATCATTTTTTGATTCTTTTTTTTTTTCTTAATACTTGTAGCACCAAGACGTCGTGTATCTTTTGCACTATAATTAGCAAATATAATTGAACGCATTGATGTTTTTCCACCACCACTTTTACCCATTAATAGAACCTATTAAAAATCAATAATTTTATAAAGATTTTTTTTTGTTTTTCAAATTTTCACCTTTTTTCGCATCATCTTTGCGTTTATTTTTGTTTTATTTAATTGAGCTTTATATAAAATAAAAATAAAGTTCTATTAAAAAATAACAAGATATTTTTCTATATTTGTTTTTGAAATAAAAACTACTATTTTGTCAAAGTACGAAAATTTTTCATAGGGCCTATGTTTGTTTATTTATTTCCTTTTCGTTCTATTGTGTGATATTGGTCAAATTAAATAATTATTCCCAACTAAGAATGCAGATGGCGTGAGATAGCAATTGAAGGAATAAAACCAGTTTTATGTCTATGGTGCGAAAGACTTGACATAAAAAATGTTCACTTATTTGTCGGTCACTTGTCAGAGTACACCAACAGTTGAGCTTGATATAAGGTAGAGAGACAAGAAAATAGTTTTATTTGAATAAGTTCACATTCATATCAAAAATTGAATAGGACTCTTGCTCGAGTGTAGGTGTAGATGTTCTATTCACTCATATCTTTGTTTTTTGAAGATCTTACAATAGGCGTGTTGCATGAAAAAACTATCTTAAGAACGGCTGAACGTATCGAGCCATTCTCTGGTTTTTAAGGGTTTCTCGAAGTGCTCTTTCTTTTGTCTAGCGGGCACTTTTGTTCTAAATGTTCGGAAGTAGGTTTTCGAACCAATGGCCGCGGAAGTCCTTTTGTTTTAATAGTCTATAATGATAGAGCAACCAATTCTCTACAAAAATGAGATGTCTCCGAGCTCTCTACAACTTTTTTCTAGCCGAGTTATATCAATTTTAGTGAAGAACAAAAGCCGTTTTTTTCGTTTTTTCCCCAGATGAAAGAGCAGAAAAAATGGCTTTCACCTTTCACTAAAATTGATGTAACTCGGCCAAAAAAAGTCGTAGAGAGCTCGAAGACATCCCATTTTGTAGAGAATTGGTTACTCTATCATTATAGACTGTTAAAACAAAAGGACTTCCACGGTCATTGGTTCAAAAACCTACTTCCGAGCACTTTGAACAAAATATGTCCGCTAGACAAAAGAAAGAGCACGTCGAGAAACCCTTAAAAACCAAAGGACCGCTCAATACATTCAGCCGTTCTTAAGATAGTTTATTCATGCAACACGCCTATTGATCTTGTATAAAAAAAATCGAATGAAACAAAATGTAATGAAGACTAGATAAATAAATAAAATACACTTATTCATCTGTGTAGAGATGAGAGTCTTAGAGTCATGAAAGTTAGTACTAGCGAATCATCAGCATTATAAGAAGTCGCATATTTAGATGTATTTTTTCATATTCAACTAAGCAACTTGATATTGGTTTTATATATTTTGCTTAATTAATCAATGAAGACTCATCTATCTCGTGTTACTCACTTCAAGACAATTGGTTAGAATCAGAAGCAGACTTTTTTTCTTGGATAAGATTTTCAATTAGAATCTATCAAAGTCAAAATGTAAAACAATTTTTAATAGTTTAGTTTTCTAGAGCAAAGTTTCGCCTCTACGAAACATACTATTTACTTTAGAATAAAAGATTTTAAAACTTTTGTTTTTTTCAAAGTAGTTTTCTTTTTTTACCAACGCTAATTTTCATAATAACTAGTTCTTTAGTAGAAGTACGTAGATGAGATTTCGCTTATTCTATGGAGCATATCGAGTTGTCTGTAAGGCAAATAATCTTTCCTCTTTTCGAAATATAAGTTTTCAGTAAAATCATATCATCCTAAGGATGTTCAACGTGAAACATTAAAATGGCTGTATTTTCTGAAGAAAAAAGTTTTTACCGAAAAGTGTGTTAGTATCTAGGAAAACTGATTTTCTAGATAATCAACATATAAACACCTAAGGAAAGATTTTGTCATCGTCAATAACTTATAATCCACTAGCTTTCGATGAGAAAACAATTGACCAATTGTAAGTTTAACATATTTATATTATAGTTTATTTTGTCAAAATAAATTGATTAGAAGATAGTTGTAAAAAGTTTTTAAATTCTTTGTCAATATTTTTTTTAATTTGGACAAAAGTTTGGTATAGACAATTTTGGTATCCATTTTTGTTCAAATAATGGTGGTGTATTCATAGCATAATAATCAGGTCCTAATTTTGTAAATTCTCCATTTTGTAGAGGTACAGTTACAAGTAGAAAGAGTTGAGTAAACAACCATGAAAAAAATAGAGGAATTCGAAATGGTGTATGTGCTTCGATTGTACAAGCTATGCCATGTAAAAGAAAAAAACTTATAGTAGAAATTGTTGCTCGAGAATCTCCAAAATTAATAAAAGCTAAATGAATATGAAGAAGACCACTAATAAAAAATACAATCAATGCAGCAATAGTTGGAGAAGATAAATATTGAAGTATAGGCTGAAAAATAGATTCTCGAAAAATTGTACCAACAAGTTGATTATATCGTTTACCCCAAAATTCACGTAATGAACAAGATAATAATGGAAAATCAGTCAATGATTTTATCATATATTTATTACGTGTAAAAATTCGAACAAGACCACTTTGAATATCCGATAGAAATGAATATGTCAATATGAATGTATAGAACATAATTAATCTTACATAACTATCACTTCCTTTACATGTAAGAAGCCATCGATACATCCAATGATTTATTAATAATTTAATGGCAGCTGATATAAAATCATAAAGAATAAGCCATTGTTTTTGTTGATAAGATGTACAAGATATAATTGGAAAAAACATCCATAGAAATTTTAAGATAAAAGAATGAAATGTTAAACATTGATTAGGTGAAAGAACAATTAAATGAATATAACGAATCGATATTAACCAACAATATGTCACAAGTAACATTGAAAACATTTGAAATGGAGGAAGTTTATTACTAACCATATATGTAAGTAATATACAAGGTATACATGTTAAAATACATCGAATAATAATATTAGAAATAAAACGAATGAAATAAAAGCCTATAAACAATTGCACAATCCAACCGATAAGAATAAGTAAAGAAGTAGTTGACATATTGATATAAAGATTTTCTTGTAGTTGTAAAAAAGTTTTCGAAAATTATAATATCAAGTAATACAATACAAATACGATAATAATATTTTATAATATTAATTGACAATCGTATTGAAAAGATTTCTGTTTTTGTCTGCGTACGTAACTTACCCTATAAAACCATGTTGACATGTCCTACAAAGAAAAGAAGTAGATTTTGCCATATATAGTCATTTACGTATCATGAAAGAAAGAAAAGAAAAAGAACATGATAAAAAAAACAAAACAGAAAAAAAGCTGATGTCATTTAGTGATATACAAAATACCAAAGCGGTACATCATTGACACACTTTGCTCTATATAAGGCACAGACGTTTTAACTAAAGAAACAAACTTTCGAAATAATCAATTGCTTTTAAATTGAAGATATTTGTACCATGTAGGTTATAATAAACTACGAATACTATGTAAACAGTTTTGGGTACTATGGAAATATTGTATTTTTATGATATTCTTAGGCAGCATGAATTTCGACTTAAGAGGATCTCTCTCTCATCAAAATTTTTTTCGATTTTTGATTTTTTATTGTTAATATATTTTCAAAGTGTCCTCTATCAAATATCATGTCAACGAAGGCTCTTCGTTGCCAGTTAGTACTTTTATTAAACCCAACTCTTGAAACTCCTAACAGAAAAACACACCCTGCGAGTATTCTTTGTATGCAAAATTCTTCTAATATGTTCAGAGCATAGGTAATAGAACTTCAACAGTGCTAAATACGACCAATTTTCGATCATGTTAGTTGAAGAAAAAGAAGTTCTGACACGTATAGAAAAGTTTGTTTTGCGTTTAAGTTTTTCCTTCTCTTCTTTCACATGGTACGTCAATTTGGAGTGCGAGTTTTTTGTTTTTCTTCAAAGTGTTGTTCCTACGGAATTCGGCAGCCTTGCAACTCGAAAAAAATGACCTATAGAGTTTTGTGGGAAGGAGGCGTTTCTGATCTCACATCTCCCGAAAAGAAACATCTGAGAATTTTGAGTCTATGACAACTTTTGTGCTATTTATCGAGATCTATGTGTCTTGAAAGTTTTATCATTTTTCGTTGAGTCACTCCCGAGAAACTCGAAAAACAAAGGGGATTTCTTCAAAATTTTTGCTTAGGCAACCATCAATAAGATTAGTTTATTGTGAAAGGTACAAGTCTTTTGGATGTTTCTATCTATTCTAAGATATGGCTATGAAATAGACTGCTTTTCATATCGTTCACATCCATCCACAGATTTCAAAGAAATAATTAGAGTTGATTAAACATTCTGAGAAAGTTATAAACCAGTTAAAATTAAAATTTTAATGCATAAATTTGTCGTTTAGGATAATCAATTTTTCTATAATAATGAAGGATTCTAATGAAGTCAATATCATTTATACTTGACACTCACACACCCAATGGATTGTAATGAGCGTTGAATAAGTGAATAAGATAAATAATTATTGGTTTCTAGTACACTAGTTTATACGTAGAGATCAATTGCAAACAATTTATTCTCATGTTTAATAGTTTTATTATTATACGAACTAATATTATACAATAATATTTTTGTTAGAAAGATTGAGACAAGTTTTCAAGATTCATATAAAAACATTTGGTTAAGAATTATTTTCTGTGTGCATAAAAATTAATTATTTAAAATTTTTTCTTTAATTGATCACAAGTCAACATTGCAGTAACACAGTATTCATATCCTAGTGATATTCTTCAGTCGACAAATTTCAATCATCTTAGTTTCATTATGTAAAACCATGGTTAATTCTTTATCATATTAAAGAATTGATAGCTATAGCTAACATATTTTCTATCGAAGAAGAAAATTCATTATTGATTTCAATTGAATCGAACAACTTGATACTAAAAATTCATCTCTGAATGTTGCCATTCACATATTGATTACTTTGACAATAACCACTAAAAAAGTTTTCATTTTATTCTCTGCTTTAAATAAAATTAATAATAGCGAAGTTTTTTGTTTTATCTGTTGTAATTTTGTATTAATTATATTTAAAGAAAAATTAAATAAAGTACGAATATTATTATTCTTTTAAAAACAAAGACGACATCTATTAGTAGGATTTGAAGGTTTTAATGATGAGCATTACTTTATTGTAAAGTGCCTAATGATGCATGACGAACATGAACTAGAACAATCGATGTGAAAACTTAGTGATCGAATCAAAATTTCTATTGAAACAACATACAAATCTATATTAAAATATAAATATTACTACGATGACTTCGGACGATCAAGAATCAATTCAAATTCAAGGCGAAGATATTTCTCCATCTAAAGACGGCAGTAAATATCAACATGAGTTTTTATCTCACTTGATTTATTACTTTTACTTGTTTGTTTTTTTTTCTGAAAGGTCTTTTCAAAGAAATTCTTCGCGAAGGCACTGGTGATGATATGCCTTTGCATGATGATAGAGTTTCTGTTCATTTTATTGCAAAACGACTTGATGGATCAATATTCATCAATACTCGAGAACATGATCGTATGTATACTTTCTCTCTTGGTCAAGAAGAAGTAGTTAAAGCATGGGATATTGGTGTAGCAACAATGAAACTTGGTGAAATTGCACGATTTATTTCGAAACCTAAATATGCTTATGGTCAAAAAGGATATCGTGATAAAATAGGACCAAATGTTACAGTAGTATTTGAAATAGAACTTGTTGAATTTTGTGGTAAGTTAAAAACTATTGAATTATAATTATTTTGAAGAGAATATGTTTAAATCTTCTCTAGGTAAAGATCTTAGTCCAGATGATGATGGAAGTATTATACGACGAATATTAAAACGAGGCGAAGGACATATAAGACCAAATGAAGATGCCAAAGTTGAATTGATGCTTAAAGGAACATATAATGGTCGAGTATTCGATGAACGAACAGTAAATTTTATTGTTGGAGAAGGTTGTGTACACGATATTCCTCGCGGGTATATGTCTTGTTTTTTTTTTTAGAATGAAAGTTATAATAATGATTACTAAACGGAGTAAACATAGGAAAGTTTAGTCCTACTGTTTTCATCATATATAGTTCATCTCAAAAGTTTCACACTAGGTTTTTGTTTTGAATCGTATATTTAAACTACATAACATTAATTTAATTCCACTATAGGTCTGTATAGTAGAGGTCGAGTACTATGTATATATATGCACCTGTTTAATCTTATTCTCATAAGACTTTCAAGAAACTTGAATTAATTTACTGAAAGATGATTATGTACTCAAAGCATGATTAGTTACTGATCATTGGCACCACTCGAAACTGTTTTGTTTTCACTAATGATAAGTCTCTGTGTCTTCAATAATGTGGATCATAGAAGATGTGACCAGCTGTCAAACTTTTTCAGAAATCAATCGCAATGTAGTACTACAAAATATACTAACGGGTGGGGCAAAAGTTTTGCATTAATTTTGTTTTTGATATAACTCTGCAAAGTAATGTCATGAAGACTTGATTTTTTTTTTGTTAGAAAGAGCAAAGTGTCTAGTGCAAGAATATATAAAAGAGTTTGATTGGAAATGTTTTTCGAAAACTACAACAATCTTAGAACAGAAGGCGTTGGAAAATTCTTCCGCAACTTTTTTGAACTTAGAAAAAAATTCCTATAATTAGACAGGTTATCTTTTTATTCGTCTAATCCGGATTTTATAATATAAGGATAGAACACTATTTCTTTACAAAAAAAGAAATTTTCTACATGTTTTATAACGGTTGAAATGAACGCTTTTATGATATCATCTGTGTCATCGATTTTTCATCATTGTTAGTAGCAATCGAAAAAATAAACTCTACTCGATGAGATATTCAGAAAAAAACTTATTTTCACGCTGCAAAACCAAATTCGAACAATTAATTTGTTTTTATCAACGTGTCTTTTGTTCATTCTCTTGTATGTTATACCAATTATTTTAATACCAAATGAAAACCTCCGTTGTAATGAACAACTGTATATATATATGGTACTCGAAAGTGTCGAAAGTGGCTAATGAAAAAGGCTCAAACAAATATTTTTGGATTAAAAAAATGTGACGAAAGTTACGGAAGAGTTTTTCGGAGCATTGTGTTCTAAAACTATTGTGGCCTTTGAAAAGCATTACAAATCAAATTCTTTTATATATTTTTGCACTAGATACTTTGCTCTTTCTAATGAAAAAAAAATCAAGTCTGTACGACATTGCGTTGCAGAGTTATATCAAAAACAAAAT